GGCCGGGTGCAGCCCTCCCTGGCCGGCCCGAAGCGGGCGCAGGGGAGGCAGCGGGGTGTGTCACCGCTCTGGCGACCCTCCACTCTGGCGTCGTAAATCCAGAAAGTTCGGACTTTTATGAGGCAGGAGGAGGGCACTGGAGCGGTGCCACACTGGGGGGCAGGGAGCGAGCTGCAGTTTCGTCTGAGATTTGTGCAAAATCTGAGGACGCGGTCTGAGCCGCTGCTCTCCCCGCCCCCACAACACCGGTGTCTGGAGAGCCAGGCGCCCTTGGGGCTCGGGGTTCGGGGTTCCGGGTGGGGTTCCGCGTCTGACGGTCCGGCGCGGGCTCGGAGGGCAGGGCGGGGGGCGCCTTGGTGCACGGAAAACGCAGGGAAGTGGGGGGGGGCGTTCACCCCGCCTGCTCTGAGGACAAAGGTGGGATCAGGTCTCACCCCTCTTGGAAGGCGCCTGCAGCGGAGTGGAAAGTGGATTCAAGGAGTCCACCCCACCGCCTGGGGACCAGCCCACCGGGAGCTCCCGCACCCACTTATTTCTGGACGACGCCTCAACAGCGTCGGTATCAGCTTTGAATGAGTAACCGAGTTGTTTCTCCTGTGGCATCTTCCTCTGTTTGTCCTCCCCGGGCCCCAACAGCCCCAGCAAAATCTTTGCTCCGGAAATTGCCCGCTTTCCTTCTGAACCCCCCTCCCCAGCCTTGGGGGCGGGGTGCTGGATGCCCGAAAACCCAGCCCAGTGCCTCCAAAGGGGGAGAGGTGGTAATTAACCAACTGACTTTGACCCTTGATCGAAAGGCTCCCTGGCACGGCCCCAGCCCCCGCAGGAAGGTGGTGAAATGAGGGCAGCAAGGGGCCCCGTGAGGGCTCTTGCCTCAGTTTCCCCCCTGAATTCGTTGTTGAGGACAGTGGGTGTAGCGGGCTGGTCTGTGTGGCGCCAGGGCCAGAATCTGATGGCGCTGCCCACTGTGTTTCACAGCTTCGCCTTATCTCAAGGGCCGGGCCCTGCGTTTACAGCCTCCTCAAAACAAGGGAGTGTGCCGGCAGTCCCAGACAGCCCGGTGGGGAAACTGATACAAAAAGGGAGCGACCTGCCTCCTCACCTGCGGTGACTGGGGCGTGGGCCAGGACTGCAGTCGCTGGCTCCCGGTTCCCGGACGGGCGGGGGCCTGGTCCTCCCTGGCCTGTGTTTGACTTGCTGCTCAGCCGCCCTTTGGGAGCTGATAACTGCCCTGGACTGTGGTAAAGGTGGGCTGAGCCTGGGAGAGACTCTCTGCGCTGTTCTTTTCAGTTTTATTTCACATCCCAATCAGTAACAGATCATGTGCTGACTTTTACGAAGGACAAAGAAATTCCGTCTGTTCAAACCATTGGCTCCCTGGCGTCCCGGTGACTTTCCCCACCAGGGTTCTGGCAGCCACAGCCGGGGTTTGGGGGAGACTCTCACCCGGGGCACTGTCCGGCCAGGGCCGAGGAGGGCTTCTGGGCGGTCTGTCCCCGCCGCTGTCCAGGCGGAGGGAGCATGCTGGACGGTCCCTGGACGTTGGCCGGGGCCTCCCCTCCGGGCGCTGGAGAGAATCCGCCCTCTTCTTGCTGGTGAGGGAAAGCCCTGTAGGGTCAAGTAAAGGGTAGAGTCAAGGAACTTAACTTTGCCTCCAAAGCCATGTGGCCACTGGCTGTTTTCCCACAGTTTTTGGAAACAAGAAAGGGAATGTTCTGTGGCCATGCTCGGGTGCCCCAGATGGCTGGAGGGGGGGTGTTGTGGTGGCCTGTCCCTGGCTGGGCCATTCCATCCCCAGCCGACCGTGACCCCAGGAGCCGACTGGGCACGTTTCCTTGACCCCACCTCACGGAGTCAGCACGTACGGACCAGCTTTGCGTGGGCCTGTTCTGCGGGGAGGGCCGGGGAGGTGGGGGGACAGGGAAGCATTTGAGTCTGACCCTCCCCACAGGCTCTCGGAGCCCTCACATCACTGGGGGGCAGCTGGCAGGCGGCCTGGGGCCCCAGCTGGCCCCTTGGGCAGCAGGACCCCTGCCTGACCCGCTTGCCAGGCTCCCTGCCTGAGCCCAATTCTCGGGGTGCCCGGCCCCACACTCTCCCTGGCGTAGCTCCTTCTGTGTCATTGACTGACATGCTGGGAGGCAGCTGGGGTCTTGAGGGTGAGCCCAGACGCCTGTGCCCAGGCACTAAGTTCCAGGGCTGCGGGATGCAGGTGGCTCGGGGGAGAAGCCCCACCCCCGAGCTCCTTGCCAGCGGCGTGGCCAAAGGCCCAGAGTGGCTCCAGGGGACCAGCCCGCTGGCTCAGGCGGAGAACTGTGTCTCCAGCGGCCACTGGGAGGCAAGAGGGAGGACTCAGGGCTCCGCGCTGCTCCAGATGATGGAGGCCGGACTTCGAGCAGCCAGTCTGCCCCAGCGCACCTGCCCGGGGAGGTGCCAGGGGCTCCCAGCCTGGCTCTACCACCAGGTCCTGGGGGAAGCCGGCAGCTCCCTTTCCAGGCTGAGTTAGAAAGGTCCAGAAAGGCAGCCCTGGACCCCAGAGGACACGTGGAGGCGGGGGACGACACAGCCTCTGCCAGCTTGTCCCCGCCTCTCCTGGGAAGAGCTGGCCGGGACGGTGCCATCATGGCCACAGTGAGGGGGCACAACGGCAGGCCGGGCCGGGCAGGGCCTACAGGGCCCCTGCTGTCCCGTGGGTGCCTCGCCCACGCGCCCGCTGCTCGGCACCAGCTTGGGTGATGTGGCAGCCCTGCTAGACTGTTTATCTCAGAGAGGGCCGGGAGGGCACGCAGCCTTGGGGCTGGAGGGGCTGGCTGGCCACGAGTGTCCAGGGAGCCCCCAGGTGTCCAGCCCTGCAGGACGGGGTGGGGGGAGGGGAATGGGAATGCAGTCCCTGGCTGGCCAGAGCCGTCCACCTGGGTGTGCGGGCTGAGGGCCCAGTTTGCCTTCATTCCGACACGATGTGGACAGCGGCTGGGGAAGGGGGCGGAACTGCTTTTGACAGCTCACGGCAGGGAGACAGGGGCTAGGAGACACCCCCTTCGCATCCCTGGGGCTGCCCGCTTGGCCAGGCTGGCAGGGCTAGGCTGCTGCTGGGCCGGATGGACCCCAACCTTCCTGACCAGGGCACCCAACACCAGACTGGACCGTGCTAACCCTAGAGCGGACGAGCAGGCACCGTGTGCTTGGCAGGGCACCAGGAGGCCGGTGTCTGGCATTGCTTCACCTGCTCTCCCCAGAGAGCCCGGCCCTGGCCTGAGGCCTTTCCCGGTGGGACCTGGCACTCTGTCCAATAGCGGGCAGGCGGCTCTCAGCCCGAGGGGGCACTCACTGAGCTAGGGAGCAGAAGGCCTCTCCGTGGCCATGTCTCTGCTCCGGGGCTGTGCCCTCCGCATCTTCCAGGTGGACAGGTGGGCCTGACCAAAGGGACCCTCCACCCCCGGGCACAGGGAGAGGGCCAGGCTGACCAGGCCTTGCCACACTACACGGCCGTGGGCGGGCGGTGAGCAGCCGCAGCGGCCACCGCCTTGCCGGAAACCTTTAATTAGGGGACAGAGCAGCATGTCAGGGCCCCGACCAGTTCTGCTTCTGGCCTCCTGCCACTGGTGACACCCAGGGACAGGAGCGGCACGCGGTGAGCACCGCCCTTGCGTGCGGCCACACGGGCACGCTCACGGGGTGCAGGGAGACAGGTTTGGCGGGGTGCGCGGGCTGAGGCCCCTCCCTGCCCCCACCCCGGGCACCGTCACCTCAAGGCCTCTGTGGGACGGGAGAGGCGGGCACGAGAGCTGGTCCCCTCGCCGCTGGCCTGACCCCGGGACCCACGTCTGGAACCCCTCTAGTGGCGCCCGGGGGCGCAGACCAGCGAGCCTTCGCCCTCACCTGCTGTCACGGCCGTGCAGGGCGGCCGGGGCAGGTGGCGCGGCCCGGCTCCAGCTCATGTTATCCACTTCCATCCGGTACTAGAAGGTGGCGGAAGGCAGGAGAGGTTCCTTTGTCTGCCTGGATTGAGAAATGGGAATCGTCATGCGGCCGTGAGTTCTCGGCCAAGTTCTCCGTGGTTGTGAGCTGGCACCAGAGGCGCCCGCGCCCTGACGCGCCCCCTCCCGCCCCAGGGCAGACCCAGCACTGCAGGGCAGCAAGAGGGCCCGGCCGGGGCTGCGGCCCAGCCCACCAGGCTGGAGCGAGGCGCCCGCCAGCTCAGAGGCCAGGCCAGGGCCGGGCACCGGTGAATCAACTCTCAGAATGAGGTGGCTCATTAAAGTCCCCGGACAGACGGACGCCAGTGCCCGCAGAACGGGTTCTGGGCGGGCACAGTCTCCTCCTGTCAGACCTTTGTTGTGTTTTGAGGGGGCGAGTGCGGGGCCGCTCCCGAAGCTTCGCTCTTTCACACCCACCTTCCTCCATCCGCGCGGCCTCCGCGTCCTTTCTGCCGGGCCCCGGGATGGGCCGGGCGGCAGCCGCCTGCCCGGGGCTGTCCCTCCTGGGGCCCCCTGCCACTCCTGGCCTCCCCAGCCCCGGGGAGGGACACGGAGGGCCTTGGTCATGGCTCGGCGCCCCTAACTCAGCCCCTTGCTTGGAGGGGTCTGGCGCACCAAGCTCGGCCCTTGGGAAGCAAAACACTGACTTCGTGGCGACAGCGAGCTGCGCTCTGCCGGCCCCGAGGCAGGTCTGTCACACAGACCTCTGCCTTCCTCTCTCAGCAGGCCGGGCCAAGGCTCTCTGGCCCCGGTGTCTGCCTTGGGGAGCAGTTGCATCAAAGGGCTGCCAGGTATCGGGGTGCAGCGTGGAGGCCAGGAGCCCAGCTCTCGCTGTGCCAGCCAGCCAGCCAGCCAGCGGTCCCTGCTGTGGGAGAGGGTTGCGCAAGAGCCGGGCAGGCCGCCCGCCCGCCGCCCAGGAGACTGTTAGGCCACATCCACCTGCTGCTCCCTGACCTCCTCCCTGCTCCACCCCACCCGGCCAGGCTGGACCAGCAAGAGGGGGGAGCCTGGCGTCCTGATGGTCCACAACCTGAGGAGGAAGGGGCTGGGCCGCCCGGTCCCCAGGCCGGCTGCTAAATCTACCTGAGCAGGAGACCTGCAGCGGCCCAGACCTCCAGGCGCCCTTCTGGGGCAGGGATGAGTCCCGGGCCAGGGTTCCCCAGGAGTGTGAGCACGGCCTGGAATCCTGAGGGACTGGCCCAGGTGGGGCAGGCAGCCCTCTGCGGGGTAATTGGCAGGGCAAGGGCAGCGCCGTCCTCCCAGTCCCGCTAACACACCCGTGACTCAGCGCAGGCCCAGGGGCCGTGGCGCTTGGCCGGCGTCACCTGTAATTACCTTAATGGAGCGGGAAGGAGGTGTGGCGCGCAGCGCATGGGTAGCCCGCCCCGCCACATGCCTGCGAGGGGAGGGACGAAGGCTCCGGGTTCCAGCAGCTCGTGGCCAGGCGACCTTTCAGAAGCCCAACAGAACCCTCTTCTCTCCACCCAGCCCCTCATCTAGCTGTTCCCCTCTCTCTAGTCAGCCTGGGCTTCTGCCCGCCCCAGCCCTACCGGGAGCCGGAGCCATCGGTGGCCGAACCCCCTTCCTGCTCCCTGGCCTTGGACATGAGCCTCCGAGACTCAAGCTACAGCGTGACCCCCGGGCCCTGCGTGGTGGCCCAGCTGCCCTCTGAAGACACGGGCCGCTTGGCAGATGTGCCGGGCAGAGACCAGGGTTCCCTGCGCCCCAAGATGAAGGTACTGGGGCTGCGCCGTCTCAGGGGGGCGGGGTGCATGCGCAGACCTGGGTGGGCCCACGTGGCACCTCAGAGAGCTGCCTGGCCGGGGTCAGGGTTTCTGCAGCAAAGCATGCTGCCGGGGTGCATGGGCGCAGAGAGAGACAGAGAGAGAGACAGAGAGAGAGAGAGAAGGGGTGTGAAGTGCAACGTCAGGGACTGGGAAGAAACCGCGAGCCCACTGGGGGCGTTCGCTCTGCTGCTGGCTGCTGGGAGCCCCTCCTTGCGCATGCACGGCAGGGACAGGGAGCAGCCGCGCTTCCCCTCCCACCTCTGCTCGCTGTGGTCCCCTGGCGCTTGCCCGTGGTCCCCCTGCCCACCGTCGGCCTCGCTCGCTCGCTCGCTCCCTCGCAGCTGGAGCAGGAAGGGGCACGGGGCTAGGGAGGTGCCCGGCTGAGGGCCGAGCTCAGAGGCATTTGGGGGCCTCGGGGGCTCCGGGGCAGCAGCACCACATGCCCGGGGCCCTCCCGGTGGCCCAAAGATGGAGAAAAGTGGCGGTGGAGCGCCATTCCTACCCCCGACCTGCCGCCAGGCGGGCAGGGTGACGAGAAGGGGCCCCTC